TGGGACTCTTGCCATTTTGTCGCATTCAATCTATTTTTATTTTTGGCTGGGATTTGGCTGTCAATATAGTGAACACAGTGTTCAAAATACATATATGTGTATATATATATATATTTCTGCAGGTCATAAACAGAGCACACTTTCAGAATTTCAACAAAATAAGAGCCCAAAGTTTTGCATATATTATTTTTAGTGTAGATAACGGTGTAAAAGCATGCATCAAGTATGCATGGTTTTGTACATGGGTTCTAGGAATGAATGCAGCAGAACAGTTTGGGTAATGCATAATTTGAGTAATAAAAATTTTGATGATGTTTAGCTTTTGGGTGCTCTTAGGTCATTTGGATGGGACGTGTTTATGGGTGTTGCTGGTAAATTAATATTGCTGCTGATGCAGGCTTCCAGATAAAGTTGAATAATTTTGGTTGACTGCCTGCTCACATGATGTAGAGGTTTTTTTTTTACAGTTGGACTATATAAAAAATAGCGTCACTGACATTTGTACAGTTTAGCAATGACAGGTGTCACAGCCAGTGGTTTTGGGTGATCTAAATGCAAGTTAAATTTTGGTCAGACATTAAAATCTGCTTATGCTTAAGGTATAGCTCTGTTGGGGTTTCTCTGACTCATTATCATGAGTGGGTGGGTAAGCAAACTCTCTCTATATTTTTTTTTTCTTCTTCATATGCTTCACTGACACCTAAACTCGTGCATCTTTTGGAGTTGGGAGTAAGGGGCAGAGGAGACAAAATTCAAGGTTAAGACTGTAATAGCCCTTTGGGAAATCCCATTGCACCACAAAGTGGAACATTAAAAACCTTTACCTTTATTAAKTATTACAGCATGTTTATCTCCTATCATCAGGAGCTGTAAATATGTTTATGGTTGCACGACGCACACCGAATGGTTTTTGTAGGCAGTTGAGCTATAAGATGTTGAACCACGTGTGCTCTGGATACTGCGGTGGAATAAATTTCTCATACGTGTGGGACTGTGACCGTTGAAACAATCATTACTGAAACCATACACCTTATTTCCTGTAACTAATAGCAGCTCTCTACCTATGGAATATATTAACAACTATTCCCTTGGTTTTGGATGGTTGCTCAACTATTTTGTTGGACAGATATTTAAACATGATCTGTAATTTATGTTGCCTGAGTACGTCAGTGAGCAGAGCTAATTATGGCTTTCTGATTGAGCTTTGCTGATGCTTGTGAAACCACACTTATGCATAGGAGACAGGGTGGATGTATATTCCTTAATAAATCATGGGAAATGGGGAGTTCTCTGTACCTGTTTGGTAGTTCTGGTTAACAAAAATACCTTAGTGGGTTTCAAACATAGAGCTTATGAAGAAGCAATGGTTTCTGTGGCTGGTTGAACRCTTAATGTTCTCTACCAATAAAGTAAATATTTTCCAATTGTACCGTGTGGTACTTGGGCATTTTTTAAATTGAAAATTGTCGGGTCTGTCGGTGCTGGCCCATTCACGGCACCCGTGTCCCTTTTGTGCAACGAGCTCGCCTTGTGCCAGGACACAGCGGTGACAAATGTGCTGAATGAACCACGCTGTGACACGCTGCTTATGGAATGGGAGCTTAGCTAACATGGCAAGAAACCTCACACAGTACCCAACTCCAGGTATATATAATGTTATATATATGGTATATAAATTTGCTCTCTATATGGTGTATAAAAATATACCACTTACGTTCTATGACATTCTGCCCACCTGGGAGCATTTCCTTATGCCAGGTAGCTTCTGCTTAATGGATGTGCTGACCAACAGGCTGCTGCATATACGTGCAGTGCCTATAGGGTGACAAATTCTCCCACCCCTGCCGTGACAATTGGTGAGAACAGAGCCGAGCCGTCGGTGGAGCACACACAATTACCGGCTCCAAAGAGCGGCTCTTGAGAGAGGAAGCAGCGTAATGAGAAAGGGGAAGCAGAAATGTTTTTCTAATATTTGTTGTTTTCTTTGAAATGGGTAAAAGAATACCTGGAGTGATTTATATCTAATTGAGGAGCGCATTCCATCAGATAGGGGGACTGTTCTCAGGCCATTTATCATGGGTGTCTTTGCGAGACCTCTGAGGAGCATATAGTACATATTTACCTTAACTTGGCTAGGTCAAGGGAAATAAAGCAAAAAGAATAGATGTTATTTTCGTATGTGAACAAAACTGGAAATTATGTGGGTGAAATATGAGGTAAATGACTGTGCCCTACCTCCTAAGTGACTTTTTGAATACAAGAAATTATTAGTTGTATTTAATGCAACTTCCTTTGCATTATCGTTGTATGTTTTTAAAGCRTGAGATTTATTGGCTGACTTTCATTGTTCCTGATTAATCAATCCCTGAAGGAAAAATGGCATATATTGTGCTGTCATCWTTATTTCATATTTTCATGTTTCAGCAGCATGTTAAAAAACAAACAAAMAAARAAACCCCAAACATGCTGTATACTGGTTTTTATGCAACACTTTTACCAGAATGAATTTGAAGTGTCTTATTGGTGATGCACACRGGTTGTATGACAGTGGGTTTTAGTGAGTAATATCTTCGTTTTGGGGGCGCTGCGAGTCTTGTACTGAAAGCCTTTGAGGTTCAGAGCATCTCTGCCGAATTTGTCACTGCTGATTTTCTTCCTTTCATGCTACTGCCGGGACCTGTGAGTGCTGTTAAGAAGAATTGCTTGGTGAGAGCCCTTTGACACATGCTGCACAGTGAATCCAGTCTTGAGCTGACTTTCCCCATGTAACTCAACCTGCAGGAGCTCATTGTATTGCAAAGTCTGTGTAACGTTTGCTTCTTGTTCTACCTGAGAAGGAAAAGGGAGAAAAACCTAAATGTCAGGATTTTAAAGCCAGAGGGAAACCTGAGGACGTAAAAAGGCTTTTACTGTTGGCGTGTACGTGCGTTCCCCGTTGCAACAAGGAACACGCAGTGCAAACTGTTGCAAGGTAGCACCCCCCAGCACAGCGTTGGTTCAGCCAAACCTGGTGATAAAACGGTTTCAGACCTGGTCTGACCAAGTGAAATTTGATCAGATATTTTACGAACAAATTGCTTTGCCGCTGATCCCCKTAACGATTTGTAAATTAGCTGAAACTCTTGTTTAGCGAGCGACTGACTCGGTGGCATTTACAAACTTTTCGTGCTCCCTCCTTTTTGGGGGCTGAATTTGYGAAAAGCTCCCTTCGATTCCTCTGCGTTACGATCTCTGTGGCATTTGATGACAAGCATAGCATGATTAATTGCAAACTGGCCTGTAGGTGAGTGGAGCACGTTCTAGACGCAGCTTGTGTTTTYTGAGGAGTTATTTATTACCTGGCGGGTTCCCCGAGTGCTGCGGAGGACAGATGCTGATTTCAGTTACATCCGTGTAAATTCGGAAACCGCTTGACTTCAGAAGTGTGATTCTGAAATTAGGTCAGTGGAAAAGAGATGAGAATCTGCCTTGCTACCTGAAAAGAAGCCAGCTCCAAAATGGAGCATAGTTTCTGCTTCCAGAAGACCACAGGTTTCTGTAGAAGGAAAATCCTTCCCCAAAATAGACTACTTGAAACTGCGGAGGGAATAAATAATAAAGCAAATTATAACTTGAAGCCAGGCTGGATTATGGCACGGAAGCTGGAGTATGAGATATTTATTCTTTTGCTATGTGATCTTTAATGATCTGGAAGTTCTCTTCTGTTTCATCTTAGAATGGCCCACTGCAGTGGGCCATTGACTCRGACCATCTAGAGATTTCTTTATATTTTCCCTTCTGGATGAATTTCTTCAGTGAACAACAATGAGTTTTTGTTGTTGTCTGCATAGCTGTTTAATCTTTGGATAGGTTCTGGTGTACTTGTAATTTTTCTTCCTTTCTTAAAAAAAAAWAWAWAWATTCAGTTAAATTCATATATATAGTCACTTTTATATATTCACTGTGTATACAATTCATATGTATGTATTTTTTTTGACTTGAACTTGAATTTAACTGACTTTCAAGGTTGAGGTTACCATTTAGATTTTCTTGAGAGTATGCAATTCACTACTGAATTCTTTATTCTTATCATTAGTGACTCTGAAAAGATAAAGATTACAGTCTGAAACCACGCGAAACTGAAGATCAGCAAAAGGATGTCCCATCTGACCGTGAGCACCAYCAGCCCTGGAGCCCAAGCGAGGCCGCTCCTCCCTTGCTGGGGTGCTTTGAGAAGGAAGCCACCGGAGATGCGATCCCGGAGGGCAGATACCTCTGCAGGGTTTTGCTTTCAGCGCTTTTATCTGATGGTTTCACTGAGAGCATCTGCGGAGCGGCTCCGCGGCGCCCCGGGACTGTGACTCACGAAGCAGATGAGCAACAGTGAGCGGGCGCTCGTCTGCCCCGCCGCGCGGGCCACGTGTCCTGCATCCTGTTTGCGAGCGGCGTCTCGGCTCCTGCCCTTTGGAGCGCTCGCCCATAACGCGGTTTCGTGTCCCCTGACACGCGGCCCGGTGGGGAGGACGGCGCTGGAGCGATGCGCAGGCCGTGGGCTGCTCCTGSTCATGGCTCCCGAAATCCTGGAGCCCCGTGGATGCTCCCGGCAGCCCCTCCATTGCTCTTGGGTTCTGGCTGCCACCGGGAAAAGGGCACGGCGTGTGTGGAAATGAATATGCTGCTTTTCATGGATGTGACCCCCAGCCTATGAATGTAGGAAGTGTGGTGGCTTCCAGTRTGTGTCTGGTTTAAAATGTCCCATTGAAGAAGGGGGRAAAAAAAAGACAAAATAATGACCTTTCTATATTTGGCACACTTAGCTTGATTCAGAAATTTCAAATGGCGAGTTTTAGTGGTTGAAACTGATAGGTGTTATAATTTTGTCAATATAATTGTTAACTAGCATTTTTGAAGTAAACCCATGAATTTAGAAAGACRGATTAATTTCAGATTTCTCGTTTTTTCCTGATTAAAATCACAAGGTGCATTTCTGATCTGATGCACTTCTGTGTCGTCTTTTCCAGGACCCAGACTGGTCCGACTCCCTAGGAACATGACTGTTCTTCTCCTTGAAGCTTTCTACGGAGGTTCTCACAAGCAGCTGGTGGATCTTCTGAAGGAGGAGATGGACGACTGCGTCCTCTGCACCCTCCCTGCCAAGAAGTGGCCGTGGAAAGCCCGGACCGCTGCCGTGTCCTTCATGCAAATGGTACCTCCTAACCCTGAGTACAGGTAACTCGGGAACAACGGGGTCATCTCCTAGCTCAAAATGCACAGGGGCCTTCAGCTGGCTCTCCCAAGCTGGATATTCAGTTACGTGGCTATACGTGTGTATGTGTAGGAAGCTTGTAGTGATCAAATACAAGCTTTTCTTCTYGCCTTGCCTTCCTTGGGTACAAATACAGGAGGTTGCATTGCTAGTCTTTGGAAATCTCTAAAGAGTGAGTTCGTTTCTGTGTACATACGTGTATGCGTGCATCTTACTTTCAAATTACCAATCAAATTAGGAGATGGTGAAAGATTAAAACCCTGTTTTGCACAGATTGGGCTGTAAGATAGCAGAGACGTGCACAATGCCAGCTTCCTCGCTGCCCTCCCAGCTATCTGCCGGGGCTGCTTTATCAGAACGTAGTGACCTCGAGGATTTAAGGGAGCAGCTTTATCGCAACGGCCGTCGGGCTCTGTGACGTGCCCGCGACTGTGGACGTCAAGCACGCGCCCGTGTAACCTGCGAATTTCTATCGGCTGGAACCTGAACTGATAAAAGCCAAATATTTAGGTCAACAGATCGCTATCGCCTAGTGAGAAGCAGCCACTTCAGCTACCAGGCTGCCTTTGAGCAGCTCCTTTAGCCGTACCTACGTGGTGGAGATGTGGTGCCATCTCCGGCGAAGTAGAATTGCGGATTTCTCCCCGTTGTCTCGTGCAAGGCGCTTAGTGCTGCTCTCGCGGCGCTTTCCCTTTGCAACRGCGCTGGTTTGCGGGAGTCTATATGACAAACTGTTATGTAAATCTCTCTCGTAGCACAACCGCATCCTCCAACGCAGCGCAATGTTATCTGCGTGCCTTCAAGGTCGGCAGCCCAAGCTGTCCAGCACTAACTGTATTAAACTAATCAGGCATCACTCATAGACATGCACTTCATTAGTTTAACTTACAGTTACATTGACCTAAGATAACTTAACTCCAATTTGTCAAGTAACCCGCATCTTGGGAGGAGGGGGGGGAACAGAAACAACAACAACAAAAAAACAGCCCAGCAGCTTGAAAACTCCCTTGAAGTTAATAAACTTGCAATCTGTCATAGACTTATGTGCAAATATAACCTTTACTGACAACAAATAAATCTGAGCTAGCCAATAAAGCATCTTAAAGGGAGGAAAGCTTTTTCTTTGCTGTTGCTGTGAGTGCAYGATCAGGCAGAATCAAGTAGTCAAAGTTCACAGTGATACCATGTGCAGAGAAGGGTACGTACCCTATCTTGGCATGCAGGGTAAAATTTCAGGAGCAAAATATTTTAGTAACATTTTAGGAAGGATTTAGGAACAAAGGCTGATGTGGCTGGTGAGAGAAAAACTCGTTAGGGATACCATCTCTGTTACTTGCACATTTTTAATGTTTGTTTTGCAGTTGAATGTTTCAAGGATTGTATTAGCTGGAAAGCGTAAATGCATCAGACTACAGCCTAATGAGGCTGACTAGTCTCTCCTACTATAAAAAGCATTGATTAAAATTAACTGGTTCTTGTACTTCTAGCTTGCCAGTAACCATGTAAGATCTGTTTCCCAGGTAGTGGTGACTTGTTATTCCTCTGAAGACAAGATTATAGTTAATTGTCAGGAGTGTATGTTTTGAATTAGATATTTAAATATCTCAGTCTTCTTGGGAGGCAATGTGAAGCCACAGATCTATGTTATTTACAGTATTGACGTGATTCGTGACTCATTTTCTAGAATCAAAAACTCATTTCCAAGTGCTCTTCAGATAGAGATCAATGGTGTTTCATAAATACCTCGCTTATCTGCATGCAGGTAATAATCCAGAAAGATCACAAAAATCTCAAGTGTAAACTTTTTGGTAATACTATTGCTTTGTTAAATTTCCTATATTCTTCATCTTTTTCTTTAAAATATATTTATATATTTTGCTACTGTCATGACTTCATTGTGCAACGTGTAGTTAAACCAGCTCAAATCTTCATTCATCTCCTGAAAGGAGGACAGAAACCRTGATGAATGTGGCAGATGGGGCAGGGAGTATGAGCTCAAGCTTAGCAGGCCTTAAGGACGTGTTTTTGAGGGGGGGACACGTAGCTAGTGACTTGAAACGGTCTCTCATATTGATGGACTGGAGCAGCAGAGCTGCACAGCCTGGTTTCTTGCCTTGCTGTATGGAGACTTATGTGATTCCTCCTTCGTGCCTTAATTGGGCTGCAGATGTCTATGTTGAGGTGACTTCTTTGCAAGAAGTCTCAACCATTCACAACTGCTGTCGCTACAGAGGGTTTGTGTCCATCTCCTGTCAGAAAGGGAGGAGAAAAGGCATTTCTTTGAATGAGCTCTCATTCTCTGCTGCTTTGCTAAAGCCTGTCTCGGGGAAGGAGGAACAAGACTTTGGGGTCTGCCCTTTGATTTCTAAGAAAATGTGAGATTCCCCTCCAGAAATTGTGACTCCAGTGAGAGAAATAGTACATTTTCTAGATGGCAGTTTCCAAATTAGGGCATTTGAAATGCATTGTAAAAGGGCAGTGTTTCACTGTTTGTTTTTTCTAGGTAATTTTTTTCAGCAATTAGAGAATTTTCTCATCAGTTCATGAACATGGCARAGAGAAGTGACCTGCTGAAAACTGCCCTGCTGTCAGTCTGCAGGGTCCTGGCATTGTGTTTGCTTCATCTCCCAACTTTTTCTTCGAAACCGTGGATGCTTGAACTGCTCCTCTAAAATTAATTTTGATTAATTTAGCACAAAATGACTAATTGCAGAAATTGAGTAATAACCCTCTAAGAAATTTTTCCTTAACTCAAAGAAAATTCTCAAATTTGAAAAAGATAATTCATTACTGCAGTCTAGGAGAAAAATACTTGATTTGCTGCTTTTCTTTAGCATAATTCTGCTTATTACCATGAGGAAAGAATTTTTTAGATTTCAGACATAAAAATAATCAAGATGACACACTAAACAAAAGCATTTTATTTTGCTCCCAGGCTATACTCTACCAAAAGTATTAATTCAGATAAAAAAGTTAGKAGTATAAAGACTTAGATCTGTAAGTGCAGTGTAGCTTCAAGTTTGGTTTTAATAGCACTGCTAGATTATTTTCAAAAAAAAATATATAAATATAATGTGTAACATTCTGTACTGCCCCCCAGGTAGCTGTTCATATGAATAAAGATTTTATTTGTAACAGACTCTGGCCCTGAAATACCCCTAGGGTGGATGCTAGCATATATATACCCCTTGAAATTTGACAACTGTATTTTAAAAGACAAACTGTATGCTTTTTACATTTTACAAAAGAAGAGAAAAGAATATTGGCTTTAATTAATGAGAACTTTTTTTCTGAAAAAAAAATCTGAGGGGTGTAGTGTTCAGCAATATATACAGTCAATTCTGAGAGGATATAACGTAGACAATTTTTTCCCCCCATAATATGCGAGCAGTACTGACCAGGTTTAGGGTTGTTTCAGATCTGATGCTTTCGTTGTGTTCTCCATGGAAAAAGAAAATATTACGGAGTGAGTTCCTTACTAGCTAATGCACTAATGTCACCAAGGCAGTCTGTGAAAAACTGATGCTGTAAATTTTTATTCCAGTGAGTAATTCAGTGGATGAAGAGTCCCACTGAAAAGAGCACAACCCGCCTGGATAAGCGTTAACAAGTTAGAGTCCTGTTTTCTAGCTATTTTCTTCTTAAAGAAAAGAAAAAATACCTGCAAGTAACATAACCCGGGGAGGATTTGGGAAGATGTGAGTGGAAGTGAGGCGTGCAAGCGGCACCCTTTCCACGTGCAGCTGAATACAGAGCTGGCCGCTTGTGCTGGGAACATTTCTGTCTCAAAAATACACATGCCTACCTGTACATGCCCCCGTTTTCAGCATCTTGAGCTCAACCTCTGCAATAAGCTAAGGTATCGGGGAAATTCCTTGAACTATTTTCTCTCTCCACCTATWTGTTTTTTCGTTTTTGCCCTCCAGCCATTCATGTGTTCTCACGGTGACGAGAATAGCYACAGCAAAGATGGTCTTTATGTCAAATATTGGAAGTGTATCTTTATATATTCTCTGTGTAGGAAGAGGATTTACTTTCCCTGTGTTCCCTGTTCTTCCGCGCATAAGGACCAGGCGAAAAATAAATTGTATATGKGATTTAGTTAAATAAAAAGTAACCACTTAGGTTCAAATAAAAAAATGTTTACCCGGTGCTTTTCTGTATGTTTTAGGGTGTTTGTCTCTATAGACAGGTGAAGAAAACTAGAATCTCATTTAATAAAAAGGTGTGTTTTAGAGTTATTGCTAAAACTTGGTTACATTTGAGAATGGAACACAGTGCACCTTATTGGAACTGCTGAATATTTTTCATCTCGGATTTTGTGAGCTTTCAAGTTTCTCAGTGTCAGATTAAGAAAGGAGTATGTGAAATGTGGGGGGATAGACTCGTGGAGGACAGAAGGGCGAATCACCCCTTGTACCTTCACAAAGAGTAAGGTGACCAAAAGGCTTTGCCGGTGTCCCCAGAACACAGGGTTCAGACCTCATTCTGCGTTAAAAATAGAAACAACACGTGTGAAACATATGCATTTTCTCACTACAGCATTCCTGCCTTGCTGTAGAGATGCCCACGCCAGGAACAACAGGTATCCTTTCCGCTAAGGAGTCAAGGAAACGGTCCAGGCCTCGCTGCTTGGTTCCGTGCTCCTCCTCTCCCGCCGGCAACACCGAGGTCGCTGCTTTTTTCTTCATCAAGTTGCTTATGTGTTTTTAACCCCCCTGCATAGTTCACGAGGGGCTCTGGATCCCAGGGGCTCGCGCGAGCGCAGACACGTCGCTTCTGCCCACGCGCTGAGCGCGCTTGGCTCCCCAGGGCCATATGGCCACCCTGGCATGGTGTTGAGCCTCAACTAATAAACCCTACTGAGATGTAAGACACAGGCACCGTGCACGGAGCTGAAACAACTTGGTGACTTCTGACCAGAGCTGGCGCCTGTCCAGCCAGCCTAGGGTGTAAGCAAAGA